ACAAATTATACATACATACATACATACATACATACATTACGATTCCAATGGGATAAGTTATGACCATGGAATATTAGCGTTAAGCCTTTTTTATTTTATATATATATATATATATATATATATATATATATATATATATATATATATTACTGGCTCTTCATAGCTCTCACTCTATCGTTTCTTGTAATTCATCCATGGATCCGACGAATCTGATATTATTAATATAACAAAAGTACATCATAGATGGTTTAAATATTCTTCGTTCATTTCACGTCCCTTTTTGTGGAAGATATTTCAAACATCGATGGACATAGTGTATCACCTTGTCTCACTCACTTTCCAATCTTAATCTGCAGTTACTCGTCCAAATCATGTTTATAGTACACTTACTGTGTATATTCTCATTATTTTTTTACTGTGATCTTCTTTGAAGCCTTCTGAATATTCTTCCGAATCCTTGCCAGTGAAAGGCGAAAAAGTTTGGTTTGTTATGTACCATAATTTTTTTCAATATAGTAATATGGAGTAATGAGTAACGGCTCGGATTAAGGAATCGGATAGCCGAGTTCGAATTCCAATCGAATCCATTACATTCACTTACGTGCTAATACCCTTGGGAAAAGTATGAATCCTCTTCTTCTCCCCTCCAGCTATGGGTAAATAGCAGGACAGACCGGGTTCTATAGCCTTGGATGGCAACTGGTTTACCACAGAAAGAAATGGCAACCTACTGCGAGAAAAATCTGCCCCGTCAGTTATGTATCGAAAGATACATGATCGCCTATGCGTGTATCACGCATGGCACATAAATGACTGACTGGGGGTAATCTAGGCTCCCTTTCAAATAGGATCAAACTTCGGAAGAATAAACTACATTAACGTTCTCAATAATGCTCAAGGATTCGGAAGATATTTGGCACGTAATTGACAAGTTGATTGTTGATTCTTTCATTCGTTTTTACGGGTTATCAACCCTTTTCAGAGGACGTAGATTCATATATTCGCCAAGGATATTTCCGTTTAAGAGAATACAACAAACCCAAGTGGAATTGGAGCTCGGCTCTCCGATTAACAATTCCGAACCATTATCCCTTACACCAATTGCACATCCAGGCTTATAGCATCTGGTATTCCTAAGGGGTCACACTTCAAGGTTCTGACCAAGCTCGACGTTGCTTAACTTTGATGATCGTTTGGGAACCGCTGTTTCAACGTGATATGGCCGTATACCCAAAGAGATTGAAGGGTCATAAAGAAGAATATATTAGCGAGAACAAAAGAAAGAAAGCTGTGGAGGACCATAATCAACTAAATCAGGAGTGATATAGCACACAGAAATAGAGATAGAAAGTTTTGAGAAAGTTTGAGCCGATGGATCCGGGAACAAAGATCTTAGTAAGAGGAGTCATGAAAGAGCAAGTATTAATGAAAGCAAGAAATGATAGGAAGCTGTGGAGGACCATGAATGATAAAAGTGAGAGTGGGAAGGAAAGAGAGAAGAAGATAGAAAATGAGAGTAATTGGTGTTCGAGGTGAGGTAAAATTTGCTATTTCAAATGTTGATTTTTCACGGCAGACTGGCTAGGTACCGTGTCGAAAGACACTTGTCTCGAGCTCACTATATTGTGCCTTGTGCCTGACTTAAGCTTCTTGGATATCTCTTAATTTGATGAGAATCAATTTTATTTATCTTTTTTTCGCAGATCTGTAAATGTTAGTACAATGTCTAGATGACCCTTTTTTTTCGATTATCTTTTGATCACTTCACCCTGTTACATCCGAAATTATTTCTACCCGTCATTGTATTTTTCTAATTTATCATCGCGTTTTCCCGTTGCACTTCCGTCCGTCAATTTGGACAGAAACAAAGTGATCGTCCGTGAAGGGTTAATTCAGTTATCATCGATCAATCAGTTTATCCAGAAAGGTGGAAAAAATGCAGGAAAATTAAGATTAATCCGAAAATACACACTCTCTCTTTGTCTCTCTTAATGTTCCGTAACCCCTCACGTCGTATGCGATGATGGCACTTTCTTCTCGTTATTTTCAAACCCTGTTCTGCCACCCATTTTCTCAAAATAGTCAAGTATGTTATGCGTTGTTTCCCTCTGTCCCTCTTGCCCTCGATCTGTCCTGTGAGGAACAGATTTTCCAAACCCTCCTTCCTCATTATCTGACCCAGTAACTTTACGTATCTCCACTGATGTTAAATATAACTATTTTTTTTGTTTCCATTTTCTCTAAAACTTCGTCGTTGCTCATATGTTCGGACTATGGCATTCTCAGCATGCTTCTGGAGAACCACATTTCTGTTGCTTCAAGTCTCTCCTTCATGTTCGATTCATTCTCTCTTCCCGATGTTAAGTATAAGTATCCTTTTTGTTTCCATTTTCTCTAAAACTTCATCATTGCTCACGTATTGGGGCCATGGTATTCTCAGCATCCTTCTGTAGAACCACATTTCTGTTGCTTCAAGTCTCTTCTTCATGTTCGATCCATGGTATTCTCTCTTCCCGATGTTAAGTATAAGTGACCGTTTTGTTTCCATTTTCTTCGTCGTTGCTCACATGTTCGGTCCATGGTATCCTCAGCATGCTTCTGTACCGTATCCATTCAATTGTGAGTGATCATGCCTCTCCACAACTTCCTATCCAATGTAGTCCTAATTAATGTTTGTCTACTTACTATCCTTCCTTCTTATTGTCCAGCGAGTATGAGGGACATTAATGTCATCCATTTACGAGAGATCGTTTCTCTCCGGCTCGCTTTCGTTCAATATGTCCAGTGAGTGTCAAATTTTCCAAACCTTCTTTCCTCATTATGTGTCTAAAATATTTCAAACTGTCTCTTTATGTTTCTAAATATTAATGTGCTTCCATTTTCCTTAAAACTTCCGCATTGGACAAATGTTCCGTCCATGATATTCGCAGCATCCTTCTGTACAGCCACATCTCTATGGCCTCAAATCTACTCTTCATCTTTGAATGATAGATTGAGTGCTTTGTTTTCTACGGCTTATCAACCTTTTGCAGGTTATTTTAAGCCAGAAAATATTTTTAGAGAGTGAGAATATTTTGAAGATAATAGTGGTTTACTGATACATGTCATTTTGATGATAATAATGATTTACTGATACATGTGATATTATTTAACCCATAGATGAGGGGAGGAGAAGAGGTGAATTCATGCCGTTCTCAAGAGTATTTCCGCGTAGGTGTGTATAACGAATCCCGCGAGAATTGGAACTCGGCTATCCGACTTCCAAATCTGCCCCGTTGTTCCTTACACCACCCGCACATCTAAACATACAGACACTTGTATTCACCGCTGTCATCCGTCGAGATATAACCAGGCTCGACGTTGCATAAGTTTGGTGATGGGACAAGAACCGATCTTAAAATGTGATGTAGCCGGATGCTTTAACAACGTCACGTCCATGCTTACAGCACCTGATGATCACAAACGGTCAGCCGTCTAGGTATGGATAAAGCTCAACGTTGCTTAACTTCGGTGATCGGACGAGAACCGGTCTTTCAACGTGATTTAGCCGTAAGCCATACCAATGTCACATCCAGGCTTACAAGACCTGGGATTCCCCAGCAATCACCTATCTAGGTACTGACCAGGCTCCACGTTGCTTAACTTCAGTCATCAGGCAAGAACCGGTCTTTCAACATTATATAGCCATGAGCTATAGTAAATGCACACCCAAGATTATAGCACCTGGTATTGCCCAGGGGTTACCAGTCTAGGTACTGACCAGTCTCGACGTTGCTTAACTTCTGTGATCAAACGAGAACCGATCTTTCAGCGTGATATAGCCGTAAGCCATACCAACGGCACACCCAAGCTTACAACATTAGGTACTCACAAGCCATCTAGGTACTGACCGGGTTCGAAGTTGCGTAACTTTGGTGAACGTACGTGAGTCGGTCTTTCAAGGTGATTTGGCCGTAAGCTGTAGCAAATACACAACCAAGATTACAGCACCTGGTATTCCCCTAAAGTTAACCAGTCTAGATACTGACCAGGCTCGACGTTGCTTAACTTCGGTGATCAGACGAGAACCGGTCTTTCAACATTATATAGCCATAAGGTATAGCAAATGCACACCCTAGATTATAGCACCTGGTATTGCCCAGGGGTTACCCGTCTAAGTCCTGACCAGGTTCGACGTTGCTTAACTTCGGTGATCGGACGAGAATCGCTGTTTTAAACGTGACTTGGCCGTAAGCCATACGAATGGCACATCCATGCTCACAACATTCTGGGATTCCCCAGCGACCGTCTCGACGTTGCTTAAATTCGGTGATCGTAGATGGAAACATTTTAAAAGACCGTAAAAAAAAAAAGACCGTAAGCTCCACTTCATCTGTGAAGAAATTGTCCAGCATCCGCTATCAGATAGGAAGATTGTCATTATGTAATGCTTCCGTGCTATTTAATTGGTTCCTTTCTTTAGTCTTTCGAAGACAACAATCGCTATTCCAGTGCTTCCTCGGATTGCGGTGTCACATTTTCCGTACTCTGTTAAAATTATATCGTCGAAATTAGATAATCTGCTTTTAGATGTCTGTCGACTTTCATTATATATACGAGCGGATACCGAGGAATTCTAAGCCGAAACCAGTTCCGGAAATTAATGACCAAACATAATCTTTTAAAAATAATTTTAATCCCTTCTTGTCTAAGGAATTTTCAGAACTTAATCGTATAAATTTTCTTATTGCTGGTACACAATTTTCTCTTTGTCCGTCTGTCTGTCTGTCTGTCTGTCTGTCTGTCTGTCTGTCTGTCTGTCTGTCTCTCTCTCTCTCACACACACACACACACACACACACGGATTGATGTGAGTTCATGACCCTGGGAAATCACGCTATTTGCGATCGTCAGACAAATCGTAAATAGCGGGAAAGCCAAGGTCACAAGCTCACATCAATCCAATTAATATGTTAGTTCTATCACTGATATTGAGTACTTTCTATATACATACACATTAT